AGGCCCCATCCCTTGCGGGCCACCCATGGCCCCGGGCCCCATGGGCCCACCCGGTACTGGGCCGGGGCCCATGCCCCCAGGCCCCATGGGCACACCTGGGCCCGGTCCCGGCACCGCGACGGGTCCCATGCCTCCGGGCCCCATAGGACCACCGGGCACTGGCCCCATGCCGCCGTGGGGCCCTCCGTGCGGCCCTCCGAGGGGCCCGCCGTGAGGCCCACCGAGGGGTCCTCCGTGGGGCCCTCCGTGGGGTCCTTGCACCGAGCCGGGCCCCAGCCCCTGGCCGGGTCCGACGCCCACGCCGGCCTGCTGGGCGGCGGCGGCAGCGGCGGCGGCGGCTGCTGCGGCGGCGGGACCCGTCGCCTTCTTGGTCCTTTTGGCCCTCGGCTTGGGGACCTTCTTGGGCAGGCCCATGCCTCCGGGCCCCATCATGACCATGCCGCGCGGGGAGGGCTCCGTCGACGTGGGAGTGTCTGCCTTCATCGACTCGTCCTTCGCCTGATTGCAGTAAACACACAAGCACTACAGACCTTCAGTGTGAAAGGCACCAGCACATTGAACAGCAAGCCAAAGCAAGAGTCATACAGGCGAGCCGAATGTGCAAAGACAATAAAACAACGCAAAAAAATATCTGACGGCTTCTACCACATGGTCAAAAATTAATAAAACGAGCATAAGAAATAAAACTGTTTTTTTTTTTTTCAAAGAAAAGGCTCTTTTAAGTTTACTGAGAACACCTAAGACATTTTAACCTGTACATTAAATTCAAATGGTCAGGAGGAGGTAGCTTACAGTTTCTACTCATGGTGGACCATCAATCCCAATTAGAAACTTACCAAATAAAGAGGAAAACCAACCAAAGAAAAAGAAAGTAAAATGTAACCAAGGTCTCCTATCTGGTTCCCAGTGTTGTCTCATAAACACTTTAGAATATACTTAATGAAACATGAAGGGAAAATAGAGATGAATAGGGACGGAAATCCCATTTGTGTACCTGATCCATGTGAACCTGAAACAAAAATGTAATGCATGACATAGGGGTACCTGATTTAACAGATTTTTTGATTTAAGATTAGGGTTCTGCGTTTGGTTGAGAGCATTCTTTGGATTTACTAAACAAATGAAATAATTAAAAAATAAGTGGAAGAAGTCTTAGTAAAAATGTTCAAACAAACTTCAACTTGATACAGGCAAATTAAATGATAAAAAAGCCAAAGGGTATGACAATTGAAATTGTACTTGTCATGAAGTCTGTCCATTAACAAAAAACATAGGCAACACATTGCACACATTGCTACAACAATGGTGTCATGCACAAAGGTTATGCAAAGGACATTGTAGAATAGGATAATAACAACTCAAAAACAAAAAACAAAGCAAATGATGACATGCAACAAAATGCTTCAAATTGAATGAGAAAATTACATCTACCCTGCTCGACAAAAGAGATACTGAGGCTTTCCTTTAAAAAGTAATTAAGTGGTACCACAAAAAACCAACTCAACATTTTGTACCAGCCTTTGTGCTGGTTAGACAGAAACAAAGTTTATGAAAAACTAAAATTTTACACAAATTTGAAAAATACTTCATCAACTTGTTTATAGATCAAACATCAATCACAGCTATGACTAGAGTAAATACTTACTGGCTTCTCAACTGGTGGTTCCAGATCTTCAGGTGGAAGTGGGGGAAGGTCCATATAATAAGCAGGAGGCCGTGCCATTGAGTGAGTGTGGAACTTCAGAAGACGATGATTTTCCTCAAACCAGAGAGGTTTACGTTCAAGCCGAATAGCTCCAAACCATGACCAAGACAGTGGAGCTGGATTTTTGTGCCCTTCTAGAATGTCCCAAGGACTAACTCTCTGTTTTTCACAGACTTGAAGTCCCTGATAGCAAAATAAAATCGTTGTAACAAAAAACAAGACTTGAGAGTAGGAAGAAGAAGTATCATGGTTTCAATTCTTACCTGTTTCTTGTCAATTGAATCAAATCCGGCAATTTTATTACCTTTAGTGTCAGTAAGACAACCTATTTGTTCAGAGGCAACTATTTCACAGAGGACTTTAGGAATTGGTAATAATTGTCTTAAATGCACAATTGAAGGACTTGTTTTGTCGCCAATTTCCTAAAGAAAAAGTCGTGCCACAACAAAAATCATAAATTTTGGGATATAAAACTTTTATACATGAGATAATTCTAAGAAGTAATGACAATATTTTAACATCAGTGCTGTTGGACAAATGAGTTTTACCTTCTTTAATTTCTTGATTAGGTTTTGATAATGTTTCCTGGTTTCTTCAGCTTTTTCTGATTGGGAATCAGACACCAATGTGGAATGTATCAATGTAGCTAGCATATCAAGAACTGTATGGAAAAGCTCCCTGGAAAGTTGCAGGAAATTCAACCGTAACTAACCAGGTAAAATAAAATCTAGTAATAATTTAAGATATAATTCTGGTACTCACGGATTATTGTTAAGATCGATAACCCCATAAGTAATAAGCTGAACAAGAAGAATTGCCCAATCAGTTGTAACTGCAGTATTTCTTTGGATTGTGTCAAACATGCCTCCTAGTAGACTAAACCTCAACTGCAGAGCATCTTGCATCATGTTACGACTCTTTGGGTTTTCAAAGTTACTAAGTCTCTCCTGACACACAAAGGAAAACATAGATTAATAAATAGGAGAAGCAGATGATGATTCGTCAACCACAACTATACATCCACAACATACATCCTTGGGGAGAGTTAAAAATTGTGAGAGTTGAGAATGGAGGGAGGTGAGAAGCCCTTCTCGTTGATCATCCTGTCCCTTTAAGCAGGTCAGCACAAGCATTAAGAATGGTTGATGGCTCATAAGTAATGGTCCAGTATTACTACATCCGCGACCACCTCGTTCCTTGCTTTTAGAACTGCACCAGTTTGTACTTTCTAATACTTGACCTGAAAAAGAAGGGAAGTATCAATAACAAAATAATTGTTTCAGTTAAGAGAGGAAATCTTACAGTGAGAAAAATTTGGACATACCCGCAACCCTAAGAACACGACCCTGAACAGCGCTTGGTAATTTTGACACAAGCAAAGCCACCAGCCACATTGTATTGGATTTGTCCTTTGGAGTTCCTGGCTTATGATGAAGCCGTTTATCATCCTTATCGGCACAATTTAATTGGAATACGTCTATTACTGCCTTAGCAACCATATCAAGCCATTGATTAAGCTCACTTGAATTAGGACGGAATTGTTCAAACATAAGTTGCATGTCTACCCAAGACATCCGAAGAGTCCATTGGTCTAAATTTTCCAAAATGTTGGTGATGATGGTTTTTTGTTCTAGGTTGTCATCTTTTCCAACAGGAGTAGCAGGATAGCAAATCATATGCAGAAGACGTTGTGCTTGCTTTGGTGACAACATACTATCTAATAACAGATCTTGATGGCAGAGATTCTCTGGATTCTGAAGGCAGCGTTCAAGAACCCACTCTTGACTGCATATTTCCCGAAGTACATGTTGGGCGAAGTCTGACAAACCAACATTGGTCATATCTGGGCCGCCTAACCCAGTTCCTCCTAATCCACCAGGGCCATTCAATCCTCCTAAGTCCATCAAATCATCTCCTCCTCCAAGTATATCACTTGTTCCTAATATATGACTGATGCTGAGCTCACCAGGCCCTCCAACAGGGCCTTTGTTAACACCACTGTTTGAGTTTGGTGTCATTGATCCTGGAGCAGGAGATGGGGCAGACTTTTTACTACCCAAAGTACCAACAGGAGCCAAAGACTTGCTGTGAGATGCGGTAGCATCTGCTACAACAATGATTGCTTTCAGTACAGCAAGAACTGGGCCAACGCGTATGCTGTTGTGCGCGGCAGCCAAGAGATGCCTATCACAACTCAGGCAGATGCTTGATGCTACACCTGCAGTGTTGGTACCTCCCGGCAGTTGGTGAGGAGGAGATGTCCCCACAGAATACAAGGCAGGTTGGGGGCCATCAACAGTTTTGAACAAACGGAGCAACAAATGACATGTTAACCGAGCTCCAGCAGCAGCTTCTGAGTCTCCTCTTACTTCATTACCGGCTTTCACAAGAGATGGAAGAGCAATGTGGCGTACAAAGTCTCCTAGTGAAAAGCAGTGTCTCGCTATGAGAATGGAAGTAAACACTGCTAATGAATTATGAATAGATGTGTCCCTAACTTCAATTTGATTAAGGACATCAACAAAGTACGAATGGTTTGATGAGCAGCACAGTGCCATTAATACACCAAGCCACTCAGCTGAGAGTGCATTGCAGCAAGCAGTTAGTTCTGCTGATAAGATTGCAATATCATTCAGTCGGTCATTGTCTGTCTCATTACAAACAGCAACAACTGTATTACAGACAAAGCTGTATCTGTTTTGAGGTGTTTCAGCTAACTGTCGGGCCCACATTGGCTCTACTTTTCCTGTAAGTAAGCAATAAATTAAATTAAAAAATTAAATGAACTCAAAAAGAAGGGTGTTATGATCATGAAGCAGAGGGACAACTAACCTCGTTTAGGATTTGCTAACACATCAGCCATGAATTGAGTGTTGCATACATGATTTGAGGGTGAAGGTGACAAAGCTGAATACAATGCTGCTTTTATCTTTGGATATGCATTGGTGAATGGTTCAACACAGTGAGGCTTTGGCTTCAGCATGCTACAAGATGAATACAAATCATATAGGTGAGCTAAAATGCAGCGTTCAGCAGATGTGCAGTCACCAGGATTTGTCACATGCTTTACTACTCGGCATAAGCCTTCAAATACTGCGCTTGTTTGTTCTGGGGACACTGCAAAAAAGAAATCAAAGATAAATTATCTAAAAGCTCTACAAATAGATTATTTACAGGAGAATAAAAACTCAATTCTCACATAACAAGCAGCAATGATAACGCCGGAGGACTCCCACAACATAAAGACTCAAGGTAGTACTGTAGGTCCGTGCAAGAAGAGAACCTTTTGCAGTTAACTGTGCTTCAACTTCAGGCATTTCTTTTAAGATCTGGAATTAAGAATGAGGGATCGAGTATAATTTTAAATTAATTGGATTGTTTGAAATTTACTGAGAATTAAGGGGCACTACTTACTTGGATAGAGACATCAATGACACCATAAATATTGAGAGCCAACTCCATGAGGTCAAATAAAAATGCAACATGCTCAGCAACAGGTAAGTAATTAGAGTTCCCTGTAGAATAATACAGCTAATGAATAAGACAGATTTACCGGTAAAACAAAAAATTGTGACAGGTACATGTGAGAAAGCCTACCACTTGCAAACGAGTTCAGCATTTCAATAACAGTCTGACTGCATTGCCATGTTACAACGTGCTGATCAAAGTGAGATAAGGTTTGAATTTTTTGAGTTGCAGATTCAAAGTTGAATTCACTTCTTGAGTGCCTTTTAACTTTTCCACCTGTTAAAATATTATTATTAAATGGTCATCTTGGATCTGAGCAGTGATCCTGGTACGAAGACTGTATTTCTTACCTTCAGCCACATCAATGCTAAACTTTTTACTAAACAGCTTACAAATTTCTTTACTCATTTTCTTTATTACATGTCTTGCCTCATCACGGACTCTTCCAACACCATAAAGTAGCACATGACGCTGATTACAATCATGGCTGCTAAACTCATCCTAAACATCAAAATTTAAAAAAAAAACAACAACATAACAAATCCGAGCAAAGTACAATAGGAATGAAATTGAAATAGTATATTTCACTGAAGCTTACTTGAGGCAACGGAAAGTGTGTGGTGTACAACAAATGCCGTGGTCTTCTCTGTTTGTTGTCATCACTTCCATTGACGCTGTCAAGCCCAGACACAACTAAAGAGCCTGGACCACCAGATTCATCTTTAGGAGAATCAGGAGCATCCTGAAAATACAAAGGGCATTAAAGAAAACCAGAAGATTCGCATACCTATGTTTTTCACAATAAGAGAAAAAAAAATAGTCATGATAAACTGTATTAGAGATTAAGTCACACTTATGACAGGTTTATTAACTTGAGCTCCATATCAACACTTCAGTTCAATCCACACGTCACAATAAAGGGCATTGCCTGGCACACAGAAATTCGCTTTCATGAAAATATTCCAAAACCATGCAAGCATAGAAAAAATGCCCCTGAACATAAATGATAGTGAGGAATGAAAACTAAAGGATAGAGCAAAAGCACAATGCACAACAGCAACAAGCAAGGTGACAATAGTAATGATTGTAGATTCAAAAATAAACACAACACAAACCTGAAAAGTATTATAATTTATTTAATGGAGTTTAATTTTGACACTAATATAGACAAGAATAGATAAATCTTTAAAAGGAGGAAACATAAATTTAACTTTCACCACCCTTCCTTTTTTTATTTTAAAATTACTGACCATAAAAAAGAGATATAAAGTGAAGACATTTAAAAGCATTGAAAGTTGACAGTAAACTTTTCTTAAGAAGAAAGGCCATCATTTTGAATGATTGCTTTGAGCTACAGCATGTAGATTATCAAACTTAAACTCCAATTTTTCCAAATTACTGTACGTCATAGAATTCTCAAGGGAATATTTGATACGCACTATGCGGTTTTGTTGCTCCTCCTTGATGTGCTGAAGCAGCTTGTCCAGGTCATCATCAATTTTGCTGTCATCGTATTCCATGCCACGCACATGGTCCTGGTAAGGGAATAAATGGACGGTCAGGTTAGGTTGGGTGGGATGTGAGGCGTACACATCAAAATATTGGTAAAAAGAAGTAAAATTGCAAGAGAGCTTGGAAAAATTTGCAATAATGTGAAATACTGGTGCCTTCAAAATAAACATTAGATAAAAGAGAAATTTTCATGACTTAAAAAGCAGATGATTTTATAAAAGAAAGAGTGAATTGTATTGTATTGTTTAAACACTAGGATTTAAAAGGTTACTCCTCACATTTTAACACTTTGAGCAGAGTAAGTAATGTAAGTACTGAGCTTTTATTATTAGAGGTTAAGAAACAGCTGGAGATTTCAAAACTCACAGGAGAAAGTGGACAAGGAAAAAGGAAAGATGAGAAAAGGAAAAGTCAAGTCATTGTCAGTTTTAGCATTTGTCCATCAGCGCACTTGAAGAAAACAGAGGTCATATACAGAATTTTCCATGCTAGACAATGCAATTGGTGAAGCACAGGTTATGCCATTACTGATTAGCATTGCCATGGATCAACCATTGGTGTTTTTATTGTACTTGCCAACTTCAGTGCATTTTAAACTATTACATTCATACTTTTGAGTTCTTTAAACAAATTGTGAGATTTGCAAAATGTTACTATATTGTCAGAGAATTCGGAATTAACAGAACAGCAGCTGCATGCACTGAAGCTGGCAGACAATTCTAATGAGGGAATGGAAACAACCCATGACTGGTTATAATAGACCATAACCATACATTTTCCAGGAGGTTAAGCTCTGATTTTCTTTTCCAGGACATTGCAGGTCATAGGGGTCATGAACACTCCAAAAAGACAAAACAAAACTGCCTTGACAGGGAAATTCCACGCCACACATCAACCCTTGATCCAAGCTTGCCCCACCCCCTTGCACCATCATAGCACACTTAAGACACAAAACAACAAAAACAAAATCAACCTTGTCCGAAATTTCCACACCCCATTCCTTGCATTCCTGAGATAGCAGAGTTGACTGTATGTAAATTTGCATTACAGAATAAAGATTGCTTTATATTTCTTTCTGTACAAAACAAAGGCAAGGTTACTGTAATTTGGACACATGCAAGCTGGCCCTGCTCATCACAGCTAAAACCTCCAGGTCAATTACCAAAATTACTGATCCAAGGAAAAAGAGGACTTGAGTTTGAGCTGAGCAAAACAAAGGCTAATTTATCTCATGATTTTTCTTCTATACCTTTTTTAAAATTATTATTATAATTTATTATTATTATTAAGGCTGGCATATGTACAGTTTCTGCTAAAAGGTGAGCTAAAGTGAACTAAAAACACAAAACAAACAAACACATTGAAGAAATAATATGAGAGAAAAATAGCAGAAATTTCTGAATGTAAGTGATTTGTTTAAATCCTAGCATGAGAGAAGCTTGCGCAAAGCCAAGTTTGCTGGAGTGGCCAAACTAAATAGTGCTTACTATTGTGGATAGCCATGCCCCCCAAGGAAGACTAAATGTAAAACCCTCTGATCTGATTAGCTATACAGACATTCTAGAAGAGTGTCTGAGAATTACAAATAAGGTTACACTTTATTTTCCTTCCAATTGTAAGCCAATGGATAATAATAATAATAGGCTCATATATTCATATATGGTAGTGTGTAAATGGATTTGAGAAAGAATGTCTATAATGCTAATTTTATAAATTGAAATGGTTCATCCTTTTTTACATGGCTTTTGGTCTTACCTGCACTTCCATTTTGGGTGGCTTCATATCCAATGAACCAAATATTCCTCCATCTTCTTCCATAGGCTGAACAGAATTGACTTTTGAATCTGCAGGAGTGGCAGGCTTGTTACTATGTGGGTGAGGAGTACGTGCTGAACTTATTGGAGCATCTCCTGAAATTATATTAAAATATATCAGTATGAATGAAACCTCTACAGGCTTCCAAAGGTAGAATATAATAAACAGGAACTTACTTCCAGAGCAACTGTTAAGTAAGTCTCCTCTTGAAATAAGAGTGCACATGTAAGCATCATGTGAAAACACATCATGCCGAACAAGCTCAGAGAAAAGATGAACTAAATTTGTAAAAGTTGTTTTGTTTTGAGAACTTGGGTTTTCATCTGGGAATAGGAAAGGTTCAAAGTTAATGGCATAAAATCTATGTTGTGAAAAGTAAATAACTTGAGTCAGAGTGCATGCACAAACCTAAAATAGGTGCATCTTTATCCAAAAATTTCATGAGCAAACTTTGAAATATAGGTGGTCCTGATGGGGCCGATGCAACTGAATCTTTGTCATCACTAGGACTGCTGTCTTCATTAGAAGCTAACAAATCACTTTGTCTCTTTTCCAATAGTTTGGCAACCGCAACAGCACGATGCTCCCCGTAGCGTTGCCAGCTGACAGCCCACTCGCAAAGAATACTGACAATAGGTTCATCTTGCTGAACAGTCTGTGATAAATGATTCACATTAGAAAAAATCAATTGATTTAGAGAACCGTAAGTTAAATTACACAACCCAATCACATTGAAAGGCAATTTAAAATATATTATGTATATACTGGACTTTCACTTACATAGTCAGTTTGATCTTCTCTATTTTCCTGTGCTCCACCATTACTGGCAATATTGGGTGTACTATTGCTAGGAGTTGGACCTTTAGAAGCATCTTTAGATACTGTTTGATTAAAAATCTTTGCATAAAGAGTATCTAAAGAGTTAGTAGGATCAACTCTCTCAAAACTGTGTCTATCTAAAGCATCAAGGGCACTAAGAACCCTGGTAGTAATTGCTCCTGTGTGAAGGAAAATGAATAATTGGATTAGATAAACACACTGTCACCCTAAATCATACAGTATACTTTAAAACTGAGATATACCAGCAGATGATTGTTGCCACTTATCACAAGACCAGCGACCTACAGCTGCCATACTTCTATGCCTTATGTTCTCCTCTGCATTACGGAGTTGGTTTCTGAAATGAAATATACAATATTAACTTAGTACTGAGAAAGTTGGAACTTAGTCATTGCTGTGATAAAAGATCTGCAAAACGTGTGTCTACTCGTGATACCAGCAATGTTAAAGTAATGTCCATTACCTCATTGGAATGTTACTTGTTCGTTGAGGCATGGGTAATTGAGCAGGTGTGCAAGGTAAATGGTCTAAAGGTGAGCCATTCAAAACAGAGGGAGATTTGCCTTCACCTACACTGTTCCAAACTAGAGCAGTTGGACATTCTAGTGTGATAACCTTCAGATAGAAAAAAATGTTGGTTAACTAACATGGAATTAATAAAACCATGAAGAAATAAAAAGTTAAGAGCATGAAAAGATACCTGAATAATAGTGCTCAGACTATGAACAATGTCCTTATGATGTGGACATGAAAGAAATTCACTAAATGTTGATGGTAGTGGGTTAGATGACAAGTTCTGTTGTAATGTCGTTTTAGCAAGATTGCCACTAGAAAAGACAACATATAGGTAGAAAATATCATCCAGCTTAAGGTTGATCAATAAATTGATTACTTTATCATTTAATTTTTTATACCTGGAGCTTGCATTGGAGTTATTATTCCCATTGACCATTGGACTATGGGGGGAAACAGAGTTGAGCAAAGGTGACGCTGACTGGAGCTCAGATGAAATACTAGAAACTCCACCATTAGTAATTGAACCAGAGGGAAGGATTCCTAATCCACTACTTGATGAATTCGGCAGACCAGTCTGGCCTGATGAAGAGCACAGCTGAGCCAACTTTCTTCCACAAAAGTATGCAAGTTTGCGTGCAAGCAGCTCAGAACGAGTGAACTCGGTGAGATACTGAAGAGCCAGGGGCATAAGTAACCGTAGAATTCCATCATCAGCAGGACCAGATCGCAGGCGATCAAGAAGTTCTAAAACCCAGTGTAAAAATTCTTGCCTCTCTAAAAGGCCCTCCTATAATTGAATAAAACAGCCAAGGTACAGCAAAAGTAATTGAAGAAAATCTAGATTCAAAATTTAGTTATTAGATTAAGTACACTGTCACCTACCTCATACATATACTTTGCCAGCTGGACACAATAATGCCATTGTCTTTGAGCCACTTTCTGCAAGTCAGTCATGGGAGGTGGCTCTGAGACAGATCTATTTTCAGACATTGCTGGAGATGGTTGTCCTAGGTTTGACGTTGCACTTAAACTGGACAACGAATTATTAAGAACGCCTGAGCTGCCATTTAGAGATGAAGGTGTACTACCTCCTGTAGCAGGATTGGGAGTATTGGCACCACTGTTAGGATTAGGGGATGCAGAAGCTGAGTTGGACAAGTGTGATGGTAGTAAAGGACCACTGCTGCTGCCAGGTTGTTGATAATATTCTTGAAGTTTAATTAATTGATCTTTCATGAACTTCATTAGTGTAGAGGTCCATTCTGGAAAGTTTCAAAAGATAAAATAAAGGTTTAGGGAAAACAGAAACATCAATATACATATGTAGACGTAGACATACCTTGACTAGGATCTGGAAGAAGACGTTTCTTAATTTTGGCTTCCGAGACAGCAACTGTGTAGGCCGAACTAAGTTTTATAAACCAAGCTGCTCTCAACATGGGCACTTGATAGTCGCACAACAACATAAATATTTCTTCTTTTTTGTTGAATATTGGAGCCTAAAAGAAATAACTTTTTTAATAGATTTTTAATTTATTAAAATGGACGGATTTTCTTTGGGAAAAAGTGAAATACCTTTTTGGAAAGGTGCATGAGAGGTTTGCTTCCAGCCAAATCTTTAAACCAGGCCTCTATGGAGGGTCGAGATCTTGGTGTCACTGGCCAAAAATTATCTTTTGGATTTATTTGTTGACGTTTTCTACCAGAATCCGGTAGTGTGTTAATTTCCTCTTTCTTACTAAGAATCGCATTAAAATAGGCTCCAACCTAAAGGAAGTGTGTTTTTGAAAACCATTCCTCTTACAGAAAATCACACTGTGTTCATGATTAAAAACCATACCTTTGAAGGATTTATGGTGCAATTCCTAGCGGTGCCAAATTCATCTTGCAATTGAGGCATCAATGTGAAACCTTGCTTCACATTTATAGTAGTAAGTTCATCCTGAAATAAGAATCGGGGTGAAAAATTGAATGAAAGGGACTTGAACAGAGCCTTGAAAATAAGAATTTGGAGCTTTTTACCTCTTTTTGCTTGGGATCCTGGGGATAAACATCTGGGGGACCCAAGCGTGGCCTCTTAAGTGCCCGCTTTTCATTGGAGTAGGGCATCATCATCCTGAGGAGATAAGTAATTGAGGGTATGGGGTATAGAAATGTACAGATGAAGAATTGGTGTCTTAGCAGAAGAATAAAATGATTTTTTGAAAATCTTTTTAAGAGAGAAAATTATAACTGAAATCCCAATCACAAGTGATTTTACAGAAGTTCTGAATTTTTGACTGACAGTAGCAAGACTAACTTGAAATGCCAAGAAAATTAGTTACAATGGAGTTTACAAAACAATTAAGAAACAAACATTTAGGGTGGTTCAGTATTTACCAATTTTTTTCAATGCAATAAAACTTAAGGGAAGGTAACCAAAAACTGACATAGATAATCAGTAACAGTAAAGTTTGAAGAGACGTACGTGGAAGAGTCTCAAATAAGTGGGCAATCAAATAGTTATCAAGGCAGAATTTAAATTTTATGACATCTCAGATTTCGAATGGGGTCAGATAACTTTTGTAGATTTCTGGAGAAGATCAAGAAGATACCTCATAGCAGTAATATTCAAACTTCTGAAAAGGTGCCATGTACACGTTGCAGATTACACTTACGTGAAGGTTTATGAAGTTAGAACAGATTCATAAACTGAAAAATAATTTAAAAACTCAAAGAAATTAACTTAACATATACTAGCGTCTGTTTTCGAAGCCATCTTGGAACTACATTCAGTTTTGCTCTTTGCTTTGGTGTCAAAGAAAAAAAGAACAACAAAACTGTCAAAATAGCGTCGGCGATCGGCGACATAAAGCAAAACGTAGTTGCGCTGAACAACCATTCGGTCTTATGGAAATATTTGAGTTGTTACATTTCCTTCAGCAAATAACAAGCAATTTTTTTGCATTTAGCACAAATCGCAAGTCGCAAGAGTTGGCAGGGTTAGCAGGCCCCACAGCAAGAAGAAGAAAAGAAGAATCCATTTGTTTTGGTGAAATAGGACATGTGCAATTTTAGAAGGCAGTGTTGCATTCAAAACTTGCTTTGCGTTGTTGCGTTTTCGGACACCCCACTTTAATTCGCGCATCAATTCTATTATTTTTATTTTATCCATGTTGTTCAAATGTACTTTTACTGAATGAAGATGTCTAATGTATCAAGCAGAGCTCTGGATACGGGAGAAATTTGCCGATTTTGCTTATCAGAAGATGGTAAATTTGTATCTATTTTCAAGGAAGACGATCTCCGGGATGAGGACGAGAGGCTCCCGGTGGCTGCAAGGATCATGTCTATCACTGCGGTCGAGGTAAGTTAGCTTTTTCATGTGTCGAATGTAATCATCAAGATAGTTTGAGTATTTATCGCGCCACTTTGCTGGCGAAATACTATCCGTATTACGGATATTTGTAGTTCGTGACCTAGTGCAACATGGCCACTTACCCGGGGTGCCTTCCTTGCGGTATCCTCAACCCCCACCCTCCTTTCACCCATTTTGTTTTTGGCCTAGCAAATTTCGTTTCGCATTGTCTCTGAACTCGTAGTTATTGGATGGGTCAGTGTACTTTACTATTAATTTTATTTGCCTTTTTTAAATCGCACAATTCCAACAACACCGAGATTCTGAAAGGAGTTGCATTATTTCGGAATCTCGTGCCGGCGGGGGTGGGATAGGAGGGGATGCTATTTGTGTCTATAGGCGACGACACGGGATGCATGGCATGGACAGTGGAGTGGCCTTTAGGCAATATGCATGATCCACCCCCATGTCTTATACCTTGTCAACCTTGTACTTGTCAGCCTTACCTATCAAAAACCACATGCACACATGTTAAAAAAATATTTTCTGCTCAAATTTCTTTGAAATAAATAAAATTCATATTCATTAAAATTAGCACTATATTTTTCTCTTTTTTTTTTTCAGGTAAATGTAGGTGACGGCCTACCAGAATTGGCTTGTCAAAAATGTCTAGAAATGCTTGACCAAGCTTTCCAATTCAGAGATCAGGTTGAAAGAGCTGATGCTGTGCTACGCCACCACTATGGGCGTTTGTGGCCTGAAACAAATCCACAGCTCCAGGTAAACTAGACTTTTTATAGAAAAAAAAAACAGACATCTGATAAATAATGAAGTGACACTATTTGATATGCAATTTGGCCCCACAGAAATTATTAAAAGAGGATCAAGTTGTGAAAAAGAATCTAAGTGTTGACTTTCCATCATCTGAAAATGAAAATGACCAACCAGAAGCAGCATGTGTATGTGATACAATCTACATATATTATTGTTGTACCTTTCTTTAATCCCTGATTTTACAAATCAGCTTTTTCTTTTTTCCTAATTTTTTTATTTTTTAATATTTTTAAAAATTAGGTCGTAACTCTAAAACAGGAACAGGATGAAGGAAATGACGAAAGCCAATCTCCAAATCCGTACGATGATGAATATGACGAACCACAAGATTACACTATGGATGATGAAGATGTATGCAAATTTGGAGATCTTGTGTCAATTTGTTAGCTAATTTTGTTTTGGCTGTGGGTAACCTTGTCAAATATTTTTATCCTACAGGATGATGGATGCAAACTGGAACCTGAGGACTTGACAGAGAGGCCATCAATTTTAAGCCAACCATTTGAATATTTAGAAAATATGAAACAAATGTTTCAAGAACAGCAGGAACCAATATCTTTGGCTGTATGTACCCTTATCCAATTTCAATGCAGTTTATGATGCCCTGTTAACTGAATTCTTTATCATTGTTTATTTTTACTCTTTTCTCTATTTCAGCTACGAGAAACCCAAAACACAAGTGCTCCAAGAATTCAACCATCACCACTAACCATTCCCAACATTTCTGTGTCGCTCATCCGTAAGAACAATATTGTTCGAGAGGCTCAAGCACAAGCTCAGGCGCAGAATCAAGCACAAGCCAAATCCCGTCGTTGGCGAAAAACAAATGAACCATGCACTATATGTGGAAAATGCTTTAAAGATAGGTTTGCAATGAAAGTTCACCTCCGCACTCATTCTGGAGAGAAGCCATTTGTCTGTATGGTCTGTGGCAAAGCATTCCGTCAGAAGGCACATTTAGGCAAACATAGTTACACTCATAGTGCCCAACGCAAACAAAGCCAGCCTCATCCTATAGCACCTGCTCCTTCATCTCAAAGAGCACAGAACAGTCCACCGCTAAGTCTCTCACCCAATCACTTGGCCTCAAATATGTCTGCTCAGTCCCCTGCTTCCAACATGTATGCTCTTGATTCTGCAGATGTGAAGGCGAAGCTTGCTCGTCTTAGCACCATCCTGCAAGCTAAACCTGCACCCAAGCTGGAAATGCAACCAATTACTGTCCCAATTCCTGTGCTTCCGCGTCTTCAGAAACACACTGCCCAGGGAGTCACTATGTCGCCTCCTCGTCCAACTTCACCTCTTTCGGACCAAGGGTCTCCCTCCTCTCCTTCTGAAGAAGCACAGACAGAGCCATTAGCTCTTGTCCCCAAGACCATACCCCCGCCCATCCTGCCTAAGGTTGGTCAACCTTTACTCCTACCCAAGCCTATGTTAAGTGTTCCTCAAATAACACCTAAGGCTGCGCATGTAAATAACACATCGCCGTCTGCTGTCGCATATTATGTTATGGCAAATGGGTTACTGCCACCGAATGTTATTGTTGGGAATGGACCTGGCCTCAAAAAGTCGTAAGTTGTTTAGTTTTCTTTTAAGTATTTGATGACGGGTCATTTATGCTGCTCAATTTTACTTTTAAAGTTGTTATTTCTTTTTTTCTCGTTTCTTTTTTTGCAATGCTTGCACTTAAACCAAGCCAATGAGTTGGGTTTGTTTGTTCAAATGTTAACATTGCAGAAGCTGCCTTGGACAAAATGCATTGCATTTTGCCAGGTTCATAATGTAATTTGATGTCGTTCACCTAAGTTGGTAAGCAATTACCTGTTCTCTCTGAGGGGATATAGGTTTAAATATCAGTTAAATTCTACAACCCTTCAATTTCACTCTGTTTTAGAATTACTATGTTTTCAAATTCATGCTAAGTGGTATTTTACAAGCAATCCTATCCCCCCCATTATTTTTCTTGTGTTCTTGGGTGTGTCACTTCTCTAAGCTGTCTAGAAAGTGCTGTCAATTATCTGTAAAGGTATACAAACAGTTGTGATTTTAATTTAATGTTTGCCTATACAGTGAATTCTGAATAACCTCATTCTCAATTTGGTAGCATGATTTTACTAGTTATAGATTTGGCTGTTTTCTTTTTATATTCTTTTAAATTTTGTGGCATTAATGAAAGGTATTATTTTATCTTTTCAATGTATTTATCCTATGTGCCATGATCAATCATCAGCATTTTGAGATCGGTCATTATGTTCCTCTATAGCAAATAAGTCATTTAAGTCAGATATATGAAATTTCTTTTCCATTTCCTTTGCATTGTTTTTGTTCTTTTCCGTTTAATGTGTAAGTGTTGTTCTTTACTGATGGAGCCTATATTACATTTTTATCCCTCCTATTGGAATCTGTGGTATAACTTTAGTGACTGATGTTCTATTATATTTAAAGTTATCCATAGTATTCAATCTATTTATTGCCTCCTTTTTCAAGGAAGAAATCTTGTGTGCCAATGTCAAGTCAGTTTTAAGTAAACGTTGGTCTTGTTTATTATTTTTGTGTATGTGTACAACTGTGCCTATGTTTTAAGCTGTACATGTGTGCCAACGTGATCTTAACTGAGTGTGGAAGTGGACCACTGTCTAAGTCTTAGTATTTTACATAGTTCAGTATTGTGTAGGAGTGAAGTTGCCAGTTATTGTTGCTCATTTCTGATAACTCAGTGTTTCAGAACGCAGTTTGCCACTTGAGACGGTCTGCAGGTTGTTATATTGTGGGTATTTATTGCAATATAGCTTGTGTCCTATCTGTCGTCGGCAGTCAATATGTGTGGCAATCTGTGATCATGGGCATGTTCCTATTTGAGACTTCCTTCTCATATTTTTTTAAAACTGCAATTTTGCAGATTGTTAGTAGGAGTATATAAGTTATCCGAAAGTACTTTAGTATATTTATTTTCTTATCTATATTTGACTGTCACTTCCTGAATACTGACAATGATTAATGTAAGTAATGTCATAGTAGCTTATTTATTTTAAATTCATGACATTTAAGCATTGTATTATTGTCTTAACTGCATGCTGTTATGGAAATCAGATAATAGACTGAAGTATTGATTACAGACTGATATGGTAATATAATTTGTTTATCAACTTTTCAACTAGGAAGCTGTAGTGCTTATGGTATGGAAGCAACTAAGGTCTTTTCTGGTTTTTCCAGATGGAATCCAGAATTGAGATATAAATCAATTGGAAAAGCATGATGTGATTCCATAATTTTATTGCTCAATTTTTCTACATTCTGATGATTTGCCCATTTTCTCACTTTTCTTTCAGTTTGAAAACTGTGGGAAACTTTTTTCTTTTTGTCTAGATGCACTGCTATTTATATTTTTCATGATAAAAGTTAGTATGAGCTGTGTGTCTAGTCTTTGTGGTGATAGTCTTCTGTGTTGACGATTTCTTATTGAGCAATACTTACCGGTATTCAGTGCCCGCTATACTGATACCTAATTCATGAATATGTCTATTGACATTATTTTTCAATCCTCTTGATTGTACAGCCGAGTGTTAAAGATGTATGTGCTGTACATGATTGTGATAACTGAAATAATTGGTTCCTGCCTTTACTCCTACAAGACTGGTAGTTGTATGAATGAAGTTGTTGAAACTTCTCAATGTGGTTGCATTCTTTTCCTTAGTTACAATATTTACATGGCTGATCTTCAGTTTTTTAGCTTGTAACAATTTTGACTGAACTGGTAAATTTTATGGGAGTCATAATTATGTTATGTATTATGTAGTAGGTTCAAGTCTTTACTTATTGTGTTCAATATATTACATTTGCTGAGTGCCATAAGAAAGAGATTCTTAACTTATCTCTAGGTGTATTGCATTTTATCTTTTTGTGAAACTTGCCTTGACAAGATTGAACTGTTTTAAATTGTATGTGGACAGTCAGTTTTTGTGAAGGTGTCTCATGTACATGTATGTAACAACTATGACGTGAAAGCACACTAGTGTAATTACAAGTAGATTTTTCTTTGTTATTATCCCCATAGTTGCGTTTTAAAGAGATGTATTTTATAATCTTTGATGTCAGTAATGGACTTTCCGATATAAAATACAAAAGTGTATGTTTTAGTACTGACAGCTTGGAACATGATTTTGTGAATGTGATATTACTGACTGGTGCCCTGATGGGACAGACACGACGCGTCGTGTTACCCGACGCGTCAGATATTCGTCCGATATGACGAAAATCCGACGAAAACTGTCCAAAAATTGTCGTATTCGACCAAAACACGACTACGACACGTCGTATTTTGGTCAAACATGACAATAACACGACAGCATGACGAGAATACGACGTCGTGTATGTGACAGATGTCCGACGTCAGCCACGCGACGGGACGCCTAGCGTCGTATCTGACCAAAACACGACGTCGTATCTGCGTTGGACACCCGACGTCAGCTTCAGTGTCTACCCGACTGGATACCTAGCGTCGTATCTGACCAAAACACGACGTCGTATTTACGTCGGACACCTGACATTAGCTTCAGTGTCTTCACGGCTGCACACCTAGCGTCGTATCCGACCAAAACACGACGTCGTATTTCCGTCGGACACCCGACGACCCGACGTCCGCCCCTTAGCCGTAGCTGACCAAACAATGTCGTCGTGTTTTCGTCGTATCTGACTAAAAATACTACGTTTTATACAACCCTTAGCTCTCGCTGCTGATCCCATACCGCCAATGAGTTATACTCTAGACGATGTTGCGTCCTGATCAGTGAATTTACAGGCCTTGTACCTAGAAATGAACTCTAATTTTTGACGATCTTCGGCAGCGAGACGTACTCCTAGATTACTACGGAGTTTATCATCGCGGCCGAATACTATCTACACTTGTAGATTAAGCTCCTGAATACTGGAAAGTCCACGTCGTGTTTCCGTCGCATAAACCACGTCGTGTTTCGGTCGGATACGACGCTAGGCGTCCAGTTGCTTACGACGTCGGCGCATTAACGACGTCGTGATATGGTCTGATACAACGCATATCTCATTAAATTGGTCGTGCTATCGTCAGGTTTGAAAGGTAGTCGGACGCATCGTATAAGACGACGCGTCGCATTTTGAAACAATACGACACCTACACGACTTAAACACGACGCGGTATAACGTCATATTAGACGACTTTAAGACGTCGTGTTTTCGTCGTATTCACGTCGTGTCGTCCCATCAGGGTGCCAAAATAAACATGTAACAAGTTGCAGTGTATGCCTGATTGAATTTTTATTGACCACCAAATCAGCCTCCTTGTCCCATTTAGAACTTGAAGAAAAGGTTAAAAGGCGAAATACTTGTACGGATCTCTCTGGCGGCCGGGAATGGGCTCGGGAAGGGAAGGCTGGATCCTATTCGAAGAACGCGCCTTGCCGCTTCGCGCAAACGCTTCAGCTTTTGTGCACAGTGCGCTCTGGCGGTCGACTCTTGAAACACTTCCTCGAGGAGGAGCCATTTCTGTGAAAAGATAGCTGATTCAGGTTTGTCTCGGTTCGCGCCCTCCAATTTCCTATGTAAATGAGGTCGAAATCATAGTTTGGCGACTCGGTAACTTAAGCCCCTGTATTCTACCTCGTACTTTCAGTGAAAACAGCGTGTTTGCCGCCATTTTTCCGAAATGGATGGTGATCAGACATCGGTCCGAGTCGTGGTACCGGACATTTCCGAACAGCTAACGAACAAGTCCGATGAACAAGTCCGTGGTTCTTTGGCCTCGGAAGATCACGCTAACACCGTTTCTGTTACACAAGTCACGGTTCCCGTATCATCTGTGCCCGTATCGCTACCGGTGGGTTCCTTGATTGGAGTTTCAAGCTCTGGGACTTTCAATGTCATCACTTCGGATCAATTGCAGGTGAATTGGAGGAATCCAAGATGGCTTTCTTTCTGCCTTCAGTAGCCGTTGATGCATTACATTTTGCATGCCCGGTGTATGTCCACACAATTTTCTCGCAATGTTATAACTACGATTTCTACTCAATTTTTCATTTCAGAGTAGTCGTCGCGATTGTGTTTAGAATTTCATTCTCTTTTTCTGTTGCACTTTATTATTATCTGTAGTTTTCTATGAAGGCTTTGTAAGTTTTGCACTTCCTTGTGGTACTTTCCACTAGTAGCAATCCAAAATATTTTCTCAACCCAAACGTCTTTTGAATTGTTCATTTTCTAAAGTAGTTCATCATCCCTTGTTCAACTTAACATGCAACATAATGGGTCATCACAGTGCAAAAATATTTTATTTTTCTTCCCTTACTTTTGTAGATTCTCTTAATATTCCAGCTCATCTATGTTCATCTGTGGGACATTTTTCTCTGATGTTCCGTAACGTCCTATTTTCTTACAGCTTAAATTTTTTAAATTGTGCCTTACACTCTTCTTTCTACACTATTGGATCGGATCCTTACCGCACTTAAAAGAAATTTGATGCTTGTATTTAAAATAAAGTAAAGGGGGATTTACAATTGCTACGCAGCAAGCATATCTTTAATGCTAGGAAAATGGTCAGAACAGGGCGAGAGAGGAGTGAAAGGGGACTTTGCGAGTTTTTATTTTAACCCCAGCTACACTTGCTGCGTTGCTATTGTAAACCTACCTTCTATATTGTGCATGTTAGTTGCATGGATCATCTATAATCACTTTTCTTTTTTGTGAATTCTATGTGAAGTTAATAGAAATCTGTATTAATTGTTTCAGCTTGCTGGCTCAGGAGATGTTAAGCAGGTCCTATGTGGCACACTTATATGCGAAGCAGAATCAGAACCAGAAAAAGATGAGGAGTCATCAAGAACTTGGGTAACATAATTGCAGGCTATCAATTGAGCTAATTTTTTCAGTTGTGTATTTGTCTTAAGTGTACCTGATTGCCTGCAGAATGGTGACAAAACGGCTGAAGTATCTTTGCAAGAAGATGATCAGGGAGACATGGATGCACCAAATACTTCCCAATCTTGGACAGATTATGCTAACATGTCGATTTTACCTGTGAGATGCAAGGTAGTAAAATGTTTTAATTCCAGTAGATCAAAATTTACGCTTTCCAATAGAAAACTAATAATGAACTTAACTTGGTAGAACACCAATGCGGAGCTTCACAAGAACAGGTTTGGGTCAGGAGGCAGAGGAAGATGTGTCAAACTCGGTGCTCAGTGGTATACACCTAGTGAGTTTGAAGCTCTGTGTGGGAGAGCATCCAGCAAGGATTGGAAAAGGAGTATCAGGTGAGACTTCTTTTTTATCCACTTACACTTGCAGTACGCTAGGTGTAATTGGTTTGTGGTCAAAAAATGGATTTTAGAATTGATTCCAGATTTGGTGGCCGGAGCCTTTGGACATTGATAGATGAGGGTGTGCTAACTCCTCATGCTACAAGCTGCACATGTTCTGCTTGTTGTGATGATGAAACAGCTGTATGTTTCGCTTTCTGCAATGTGTGTGATCCTTGAGTTCAATTCTTTTAAATATTGTAGGTTTTTCTTTCAGACTGGACCAGTTAGGTTGTTTACTCCTTATAAACGAAGAAGACGAAAGGATGGAGAAGATAATGGGAGAAGTCAAAAGATAAAGTTGGACATTAAGGGAGAGCACAGTGACGAAGATGGAGGTGAGACGTCAGCAAAGGAATCATCAAACCGCACACTCAGCTCACATTTTGGTAAACTAAATTACAATGTGTTCTGTTGCATGAGTGTACGGTGTGTATGACTTCTTTAGTTGTAGATTTTGGCTTAACTTCTTCATTGTGTATCTTTTATTGGTACAATGCATGCCATGTGGAAACATATTGTTCTAGTATGTCCACATAGATTTTACTTCCTCTTTTCTTTTGTTGTTGTTTCATAAATTTATGTTGCTTATAGATAGTATTGAAGAACATTTTGAAGTAGTTCTTTTTCTTTCTTCTCAATATCTATTTTGAGTACAATATCTATCTTTATCTATCTGTACTTTTTCATTTTCTCTATTTTAATTTCAATATTTTTTGTTTCTCTTCTTCATTGACAACTCAAAATGGAAACACTGCTTTTCAGATACTATTATATCAGATGCCATCATGGATGACAAGGATGCCTCCTGGCAAGGTGGACAGTTCAATGCCTCAGTTTCAAGCACTTCTGGAGGTCAGGCTTCCCAGACAGTTACTGTCATGGCACCTACCATGTTAACAGCCCAAACAACTGTTGATCAACTCCAGTCTGCTCAAGAATATCAAGTTTCAATTCAATCTCAAGTCCGAACACAAGCCGCTCAGTCATCATCTAGTGCATTCCACAGACTAGATGACGTAAGTGCTAGTTCAGGTGTTGTTTTGATACGGATGTGGTTTCTTGTACTTTCTATATCTTTCCTCTATCTTTTCAGATTGCAAGTAAAATGCAAAAATTAACCAACCAATTTCGGAAAGCTGTAGAGGAAGCGCGGGAATTGTGTCGTTTAGAGAAAGAACAAATTAGTAGAGAAAATCAGGCAGTCATTGAAAATTCAGTCGCCAGGTATTTCTTCACTTCATTATTGCCTCTAAAGGATTTCTGTATTCAGTATTTTTGTCTATGTAGTATGTATAATAATGCAACAAATTTATTCCAGAGCTGTGTTTGAAACTAGGGGAGGCCTACCAGTTGTTGTTGATCCTATAGAAGCAGTAGGACTAGAACCAACCACAGGAGCCCCAAGTACAGAAAGTAATTCCGATACCAAAAAGGTAAGTTAATTTTTAATCGTTGTCAAATATTCTCCTTCAACTGGGCCTCTGATTCATAAATTGTTTTGATCTAATTGATGTTTTATCTTTTGATAGTGTGCCAACTGCAACCGAGAGGCGTATGCAGAATGTTCTTTGTGCCGTAGGACTCCATACTGTTCAACTTTCTGCCAACGGAAAGATTGGGCGGGACACCAAGTGGAATGTGTTAGAACTGCTAGTGCAGAACAGAATGGTCAGCAAATAATGCTGATAGTAGAAAGTTCAGAGCAAGTGCTTGGCCATACCGAATAAATTTTGCTTGAACACCCAGCCCACAATTATCAGCACTCAATGCAATTGTTTTGCAAAATATCATATAGCTGGATGTGAAAACAATATAAACTTCAATGAATTAACGTAGTAACCGATGTATTATCATTATCCCGCAAAATTTAGATCTTTTACCTGTAACTGTACTGCATTTCCAATTTGGGAATTGCTTTTCAGTTTGTATGGCTGTGCTGAGTGGTTGATTGAATTTAGACTGAATGTGATGAACAATGCTGCTGGACTGGATGTAAATAAGTGCTTGACTTATCATTTCTGTAGGTAATTGTTAAGTGTTTGTATAAAATGTTCCCTTGTCATCAGTAGTAGCTAACATTTTAATGAAAAGACTGGTTATCTTTCTCAAGAATAACCTTGTATCTGTGCTTTTCCTGTCTTATTTATTGAGTCCAATTTTACTATTATCTACATTGATTTATTTTGTAATTGTCAAGAACTTTACTGCAAACTTCTTTTGACACCGATCTGTTATTTCATATCAAGAAATTCAATTTTAAAGTAAGTCTAGTGATTCAGTGATGCAAATAGTCCTTAAGTTTATTGTACAATTTATATTTGATTTATGAAATAGAAAGAAAATTGAGCTTCTGTGCACACTTGCATTTACAACACTGTGTTGGAACTCTGCTCTTTCCTTTTAAGTCATGAATAAGGCTTATCTGCTTACCCTCTTTCTTAATGTAACTTGTTGGAGTTACCGGATTGTTTCCAAATGATCTCTAATCAACATATTTGCTTAATTGTCTTTTATTTACTTTTTAGCTGTCATTTGTCATTAATTAAGTTGATTAAATATTATACACAGTTTATGGGAATGTTTGACAACCTGTTCAAACTGGATGTATAGAATGTTTCCTCTTTAATTCATTTTGCTTTGTCAGGTGGTATTTATTGTTTAATAAAATATCTTCCAAATTTCTTGTAATTATTTATTCTCATCATATCATATGCAGGATTTAAACTGGCATCAGTCGAAACCATGCATTACTTAAAGTAATAATATTTATACATTTGCACACTTATTTACAATTTGGAATACATTAGTTTTGCACAGCCAAGTCGAGTAACTGCTCCGCCTCGTCAATCACTTCTGGACGTCGGCCTCCCTCCCTGCAGCTTCCTGCTCTTCTCATCCCCCTTCCCAAGCCGCCGCAAGGGAGCGTTGACAATGTAGGGCCAACATGCTACATGGATGGAACCTCCGCCGTCGCGAGCCCTGCTTGGCGCGGAAAGGGTGACCAATCGGCGCACAGCATTCATTCAGCACTACCGAGCCGAGCGCTCAACTCGCCGCGGTGAGGTGAGGTTCCCCACAATAGCAGCCCTACAGGACGCCATCGGCCATCTCCTCGCCACGATGTAGAGATGATTCTACGTCGTGCTCCTCGCCCACGTCTATTCCGCCAAAGAGTTCGGCGCGGCACTCCAACGCCCCATCAACAAGCTCTCACGGGGATCCTGCACGATGCACGACCGACAGCCGACAGCTCCTCGCGGCCTTCGGAGGTTGCACGGTTGACCCCTGCGCGACCAGCCTCCTAGGCCTGGCCCAGGGCTGGGTGATGACCCCACCTACCTCTAGTGGACAAGAGCTCTCTCCCCGATGGCGTCCACCAAACAAAATACACCGACGACATCCGCTCTCTTCGCCCGGACCTCCTCAACGGACGAAGTTGTCGCCCGCCTGCAGCGGCAGCGTGCCTCCGCGACGACGGTGCATCTCTCTGCCCCTCCACGTCGACCTCCAGACCACGCTGGCCGAGACAACCATCCGGGCGCAAGTAGAATATGCTGCTGGTCTGCGATCATGGTCTCACACGCCCCACAGCAGCTCCCGGTGAGCCACTGCCGAGGCCACTGCTACTCGCTCCCCCGCCGCCTCTGGACTTCCCCCATGCCTCCCCTCACGCTCTCGTCCTCTCCTCGGCCTCCGGAGCCAAGTCTACAGCGACCTTCATGACGGCCTCTGGTCCGGCACCCGTGTCGTCGCGTCGCTACTGACGGCTTGAAGGCCGTCACGCCGGACGGGCCTTCCTTCGGAGCCACCATCCTCGACGTCACCTCTGCGACAAACGCCATCCTCAGCGCGCAGCCTGAAGCCTCTCGCCGAGCTGCTCGCCCCGGCCACAGCTGTCGCCCAGGTCGCAATCTAGCCCACGCAGGATGTGGTTGTCCTCACAGACAGCCTCTCCTCCATCAAGGCCATCTCCGTGGTTTCAAGGAGCCCGCCACCACCGCAAGGTAAACCATCATCATATGCGTAGGCTACGTATCAGCCAGCCACGCGGCCACTCCACAACATCTACGCCGTGTCGCAGGCGCTGCCTCGGCGGCTTGCCCCTTTTGCCACGATGGTCCTGCTCCTGCCAACCGCCTCATCGGTGATTGCCTCCTCACTCACCTCGCCGACACCACTTACGCCCTCGCAAACCCAAAGGGCGTTAACGGTGATTAAGGAGCTGCTGCGGTGCAACCCGCCCCGCCCGCAGCTCCGGTTCTAATCCCGACCTCCTGCCCCATTCACAATAGGCCACACAAAAAACTACTACAACTACTTGCACAGCCAAGTAAATCTTTCCAAGAAAAAAATGTCTTTCCTTGTCTTATTGCCTTAAAGTTTTTGTTGTTTTTTCAATCTAGGAACGTCGCATGCAGAGCATTGAGTTAATTTCCCAAATGATGCGTCTCATTGAATCTATCACTTCTTTTAAGTGCTTGTTTTTTAGTAATACTTGCTGCAAAATATCAAAGAGAAAATAAAGTTAGTTTGAGAAAAGTTCAATAGGGTACAATTGAAATAAACAAATGTCACCTCCATAATTTCTCTTCTTTCTTCACATGCCATTCTGTAGGATTCAGACATTTTCCGCTCATCTGCTTTTTGATCCCACTCATCCCTCAGAGGAATGAGGCTCTAAAACAATGATTAATTGTACCCTGTTTAATGGAACCAAGTCCAAAATCTGCTAAATATGTTTCAGGTAGGCAAAATTTATCACCTCAATATGCATGTATTCCATTCCTTGTAGTTGAGCATTTTCATTACACCTTGTATAGATCATGCCCAATCTTTTAAAATTTTGCTTGATGTGGATCAAAATTTCCTGAATTTTATTTTTTCTATCATTACAAAGGTTTGCTCCAGGAGTACCATTTGGTGGCTAAAATTGAAAAACAAAAAAGTTAGGTCAAACAATTACAAGCACAAGCCTGAAGTATTCACAAGAAGAGCATAAACCAGAAAACTTTAATATACTGAGCATTTCTAAACCCATAATAGGTGGGATGGCAAACTGTGGGGAATAGAAAAAGAGGTAAAGAGTGACCAAATTGTGGGCAACAGTATGGTGTGACTTTGTCTAATGTGGAAAAGACTTCTAGGGGTGCGAATCCATCAAAGTGAGACCACATTGACATCCCATCCCCCTCATCAACCCTGGAAATAGAGCATTCCGGTAAAGCTGATATGCAGAAGAATGCAGGGAACAAGAATACAGAAGTCACCATGATAAAGCATAGCGATTTCTGTTTTCTTCTTCCCCGCATTCATAAACATTTAAGCTTTACCGGAATGCTTTATTTGAATTAAAATTGAATAAATTTAAGCATAATTCATCGAACAGGGGTGGCCTCTAGCTTACACCTACAGGAGCAACTAAAAAGGCAAACCTGTAGTGCTTTCAGAAGGGTGAAAACTTCAGTCATCCTTGATACGATTTCTTGAACTACCTCCATGCCATAACGACACAGAGCAGCAGTATTGATATCTGGTTTCTGTGCAGGCACAGGAGGACCTCCTTGATTCTGTTCTTGTCCAGAAGATGTGACAGCTACAACTGCTCCAGGATTTGGTATGTGGTTGCCACCGGGCTGTGCTGTTTGACCGACACCTTGTTGAGCAACTTGTTGTTGCCCCTGAGGGGAAATACCTGGTCCAACCTGAAAACGAGACCAATCAAGTATTAAGTAGGTCCAACTTTAGAGGCATGTTGGAGAACAAGCAAGAGGCAGGTGCCCCTAGAACAAAAATATTTTATTAACTCGTTAATTAACTTGTTTACCTTAACTTGCTGCTGCATTTGCATTGCCATTTGAGGATTCTGCTGCTGCATGTTTGGAACTGATTGCTGTACATTGCCTCCCATGTTATAAGACTGCGGACTCACCATACCTAGAGAGTTAAAAGAAAATAAGTGAAACCGGAAAGGATTTGAAACAAAACTTTAAAAGTTGTGAAAAGATATACAGCAAACTAACCTTGTTGGGCCGGCCCCATCATATTGCCCATTTGAGGTCCACCGACAAACTGAGAACGCATTGGGTGGTTCGGATTTTGCTGTCCCATGGGAAAGTTCCCAGGAAAGTTATGTGGTGGACCAGACATGATTTCGCTGAAGCGATAACAACAAAAGAAATATAAATTATTGAACAACAACTATCAAACAAACCGCAAACGCAGCGCACCTGTGAATAACGAGTAGAGTGGGGCGCATAAGAGATGTTTATGTTATCGGCACAGCACGGCCGCAAACGCAATGTTAATTTTTCATATATATTGTGGCGTAGTATGAAAAAACCGTCCACGCAGAAAGAACGTAAACATCAATAGCCATGAATGAATGAATGAACAGCCGGTTCTAAGCAAAATATTGCAGAAATTATGGACTTCTTACCCGAAATCAAGCGGAATAATCAATGAAACCTGTTCTGATTTCACATTTGGCTTTCTGCCAGGTATTTTTCCATCTAAGTTTACGTTGCCGGGGTGCCTTGAAAGTACTTGAGGCCTAGTCATTTTATTTTGGGTACATCAACAGCATTTTGGTTTTTAAAACTTTTGTGGCTGGCTTTGACATTTGTCATAAATTTGGCACTATTCAAATTGGAGTAATTTCGCATCTCTAGAATGGTTTACTAGAAATTGTGTAAATTAACTAACGTTTCCCCCAAATACTTAAATGAATTTTACAAAATTTTGTAACATTTATAAAATTTCTGTTACTGATAATTAGGTTGCAACCTAACAACACATTTTACCTGAGCCATTTCTTGTTTCAGTCTCAAGGAAATGAACTCTGCAAAAGTCACCAGGGAATTTAAAACAGGTTTTCAAGAATGGGATACTGTTTTTCCAATCCCAGGTTTGATATGAAAGTTTGGAGTTGTATAGAAATTTTGTTAAAGATTTTCTCTTAACGTATAACTTTTTTTCCTTAAAGCAACTTCTTACAAAGTATCAGCAGTCCTGGCATTTATTGTTGGGACTCTCGTTTTCTCCAATTCCGCGAATGGAAATTTTGTCTTTGATGACTCAGAGGCTATTGTTAACAATCGCGATGTACAACCTGAATCCCCTTTATCCAAGCTCATATCAAATGACTTTTGGGGAACACCTTTAATCCATGACCGTAGTCACAAATCCTATCGGCCAGTTACTATTTTAACTTTTAGGTAAGGACATCCTAAATTGTGGTAAAAATATTTTTTTTAAAGCACCATGACAAGGAATTTGTTTTGTTGGGCAGGTGGAATGTGCAGGTGTTTGGTGGTCTTCATCCATTCGGTTTTCATGTCACAAATATTTTTCTTCACGGAATTGTGTCTGCTCTCATAGTGCCAGTGACCAATAATCTGTTTGGAGGCAATGCTCCCCGTATGTCTTTTCTGACATCTCTTCTATTTGCTGTTCATCCAGTCCATACTGAGGCGGTATGTTTTTCCATAGTGCTTGAGTCCTCATAAAATATACTCAACATTTAATTTGTTTAAAAATATTTTCAGGTGGCTGGGGTTGTTGGAAGAGCTGATTTGCTGTGTGCTTTCTTTAGTTTTTTATCCTTTCTTTCATATTCAAAAGCCACAAAAGAGGGCACATTATCAATCAAACTCAGCATAAAATACTTGATATGCAGCATATTCTTTTGCTTTCTGGCTTTGTTCAGCAAGGAACAAGGCATAACAATATTGGTATGTATTTTCTAATCTCTCGCAAATTGACATGTCTGCATACTCCTCTAAATGGTTTGTTTCTGTATTTTTTTAGGGGATATGCCTTGCCTATGATGTCATAACATTCCACAAGATTAATGTATATAATTTACCTTTGTTGGTGTTAAATTTATTTTACTGCTGTCCTTCTGGAAAGTCAAATGTGAAACATCAATCAGTGCTTCCAGGACAATCCAAAATTTGCTGTAGTAGGCGAATAGAAAGTCAACACCTATTCAGCAAACCATTCATTATTCGCTCTTTGTCACTGATTATAGCTGGCCTACTTCTATTGTATGCACGGTGGTATGTAATGGGTTCCAAGCCACCTGTCTTCCAGCAAGTTGACAATCCTGCATCATTTGACAAAAATTTTTGGACAAGGGTAAGTATTATTGTATTCGACATTAAACTTGAATTTAATTCTCTGCAGTACTAAGTCTATTTGCTTCGTCTACAGGTTTGGACTTACAACTATTTGTATTCCCTGAATGCTTGGCTCCTCTTGTGTCCAGAATGGCTAAGTTTTGATTGGTCCATGGGTTGTATTTCTTTAGTATCCACTTGGTTTGATCCTCGGCTGCTTGCAGTTGCAACGTTTTGGGCCACTTTGTTTGGTTTACTTTGGCGTGGGGGATATTACTCAAATGATAAGCTTGGAAGGTACTTTTCTAGATGAAATTTTCTAAAATCGGCCTCATATCATTAATTGCCCAATTAAATATTTTATTTTTCAGGACAATCACTATGGCTGTAGCAGTATTAATCATTCCATTTTTACCAGCATCTAACTTGTTCTTCAGAGTTGGTTTTGTCTTGGCAGAACGAGTTCTTTACTTACCATCTTTGGGATTCTGTATGCTTGTTGTTTTAGGCATGCAGGTCGTACTTAGCACTAAACCAGAATATAAAAAGGTATAGTTGACCAATAACAGAATATAGTTCAATTCAGACACAATATTTTGAGATGACTTCTTTCTCTAACATACAATTTGTTTTTTCAGACCCTTATGATAGCTTTTACTTGTACACTTTTAGTATTCTCTGCTCGTTCCATTTATAGAAGTAATGAATGGCTTCAAGAGTACACGCTCTTTAAATCTGCATTGGCAGTATGCCCACTAAATGCTAAAGTACACTACAATGTAGCCAAAAATGCAGGTGACATGGGAAACCATAAGTTAGCAATAAAAGAATATGAAATAGCTTTGAAACTGCATTCTGAATACGACCAAGCCATGAATAACTTGGCAAACATATTAAGAGATGAAGGAAAGCTTGATGAAGCAGAGTCACTGCTAAGAAAAGCAGTTAAAATTCGTCCTGACTTTGCTGCTGCTTGGATGAATCTTGGCATAGTTCTTGCTGCATTAAAAAAACATGAGGAGGCTAAAGTTTGCTACACCACAGCCTTGCTGCACCGATCTCAGTATCCAGAATGTTTGTACAATCTAGGCAACCTCTATTTGGATCTTAAAAATACTAATGAAGCATTAATGGTTTTTAAAAAGGCTGTTCAGCAACGCCCAACATTTTCCATTGCCTGGAACAATATGGTGATAATGTTGGAGTCTATTGGTATGTTTCCCCAGAGTTTTTAAAGTTCACTTAAAACCTGTTACCTAAGAAAAAATCACCAAAAGTTATTACTTGCAGGAAAGTTAAATGATGCCAAGGTAATTGCACTAGAAGCCCTCAAATATCTACCTAATGATGCTGGGCTACATTTCAACCTTGCCAATACACTGGGAAAAATGAATGAATTTGAAGATGCTGAGCAGCATTTTAGAGAAGCAGTGAAGCTAGCACCAAACAATGCCATTTATCATTCAAATATGGGAGTTCTATATCATCGCTGGAAGAAGTACAACCTTGCAGAATCAAAGTACAATGACGCTCTCAGTTTTGATCCGACTCTCAAAAGTGCCATGAATAATCTAGAAATGTTGAAGAAATCAAAGATGAAGGCGGTAAAGTGGAGAGTAGTGTGATGTACAGTTTAAATTTTTTATCTATTGTTGACTATGGACTCCAATAGGAGCCACTAGGAATAAAAAAATTTTTGATTACTATAGGAGTACCTGTGTCTATTGTTGTCTTGATGATCAGAAATCAATTATACAAAAATTCCACCCAACAATTTCACACATACAACATTTCCATAGAGCTTGGGACTATGACAGAATTTAGATTAGCAGTAAGAAATTTTCGTAAAGAACAAATTGAGCATGACATGACATTAGAACAAAAATAAGAAATGATTAAAACAACAATAAGGAATAATTACAACAAAAACAGAGAATTATAAAAACAAAAATAAGATATGAACTATACATTAAGAGTATGAAATTTATAAAATATGTGAATGAAACTGTCAATCTCCTTTCACTTTCTTCCTTCCCTTTCTTTTATCTGCCTTTTTCTTTCTCTTTTTTGGTTTTTCCTCCTCTTCTGCATCATAGCTCCCATCACTGCTTCCATCAGTTACTGAGTCAGAGGTGATAAAACTATCATCAGATTCACTTTCACCTGGATTAAAGTTGTCCGATTCACATCCAGAATTAAAATCTCCATCGTCATCAGAGGGAATATCTTGCATGTCAACTGGCAAAAAGGAACAATTTAATTTAAGTAAGAAGTGAAGTTTACATTTTATTAGTTTCTGTGTTTTCAGTAAACTTGCCTGGTCTTGCAGTCCTTTTTCTAGGTGTATCATGTCTAAAGTCACGACGGTGTTGAGGATTTTTGCGGTAGCATGCTGATCCATATTCACAAAGGGGACGAACATCAGAGGTAGAGGTAACTGCATCATTTTTGGGAGTATTTGTGCCAGAAGAGTCACAGTAGTCTGAGTCTCCAGGATGAGCAAATTCTACTTTGTGCTGTGGGTTTTTTCTGGTAAAGAAAAGAATACATGGATAGATAAGCTAGAAAGCTACTACTATTAGATTAAGATTGCATTATTGAAAGAATAAACAAGCATTATAATTTGAAAATATACAAAAGACAATTTAATTTTATACCTGTAGCAGGATGAACCATAAAGGCAGGATTTTCGTGTAGCAGGTGAGGTCAGTACAGAAGTACCTGGGCTGACTCTAGCTCCAGCATCAGCTCCCACATCTTTCGCAGCGTTGTTCCGGCTGTTAGGTGTACAAGGTTTTGGAGAAACTAAATTGTCATGTTCATCTTTGGCTCTTTCATAGATACTCCTAGAATGATCCATATTCATACTTGTGCCATGCACGTCACTATTACTGATATTTTCATCATCAGAATTTCTGGAATGTCTTTCAGCCTCACAATTTTCTTCATCTTCACTAAGACTATCAGCAAAACGTTTGGTAGGAGTCGACTTATCACGCTCATCCTCCTCTCCATCACTGAGGTTGTCATTAGAATATCTTAAAGGGGGAGCTTCTTTGACTGCAATGTCACACGAGTTATCCTTAAAAAGACCATTCTGAGGATTGTTCAAGGAAGAACCATTCACTGCAGACGAAACCACAGGTGATTTGGGGCTGCTCACACCATTTTTACTCAATTCTGTGGTGACTGTGTTGGAGTTATTAGATCCTTTCATCCAGGCAGGTACTTTTCTTTTCCTGTTGGTCAACATGTTCTCTGAAACACGAAGGGCATTTATTTCCTTAAAACCAACAAGCCAATATAACCTTATAGACCATCATAATCACAAATTATTTTTGAAATAGACGGAGTGGAAAATAACAATAGGTAGGTGAACATCTAAATTTTAATTTTTACCTTGATATGTTTTTTGCTATATATCAGACGAAACAGTTTGGCACACGTCAGCTGGACCAAAGAAGTAAACTTGTTTATTTATTTATTTTTTGATAAAATGTTTACCTCGTATTCTCCCGCAATTTCTCTTCTTCTGTCATCTGTCAACAAAGACGGGGTGAGAGTGGGGGGAGGTAGTTCCTTCGCGCCACTCCGCGGTTGACGCCGCCGGGCCGTCGCGTCGGTCGGCCCCAAAAGTCTTCTAATACCTTTTCTTTTCCCGTTTAATTAAAGGGCTTGTGGCGTGAGATAGATGGAAATAAACGCGACTCTGAAACTGTAAGAACGCAGGAGTAACTTGGACCCTGGTGCCTGCACAGTCGTGCGCACGTTAGCCGAAGTTAGTTGCAGCAGACACAAGCACATGGGGCTAGCACGGAGTCGGTCATCCATGGAGTCGGTTCAGCAGCGACGAGGGGATTGGGGGTGGAGAGCGGGTTGGTTGGCCGGCCTGCCGAAGCCCCGAGCGAGCGGCGTGGTCACGGCGTGGTGTGGGGCTCGTCACTAAGCCCGCCGCTGGTGGTGACGGTCCCCCGAGTGTGAAGCCCCTCGAGGCCCTTCACGGCGAGGGTCCCCGGCCCCTGGGCTGGGACCGGCGCAGTCGAGGGCCGAGTCGGGGGGCGCGAGCCACGGGAACAACGGCGACATGGACAAGGAAGGTAGTATAATATATGCAGGTGGTGGACTGTTCGCCAAAACAAAATAGAGAGAGGGTTTTTGTTCGTTGCGTATCAGTGACGTTGAAGCGACCAAGTTTTGCTGAAATTTCGTTCGATGGTCGTCTGCCCCCTCCAGCAAAGAAATATTTGAAAATTTTGTAAATATTTGAAAATTTTGAAATTTTTTGAAAATTTTGAAATTTTTTAAAAATTTTGTAAATTCCAAATTTCTTAGTTTTTTTGAATTTTTGTGGAACACTTGTGATTAAATTCTCTGCCGGACTTGCAGGAGTGGCGCGCTCGGGCGCGCACCGCTACTCGGACGGCTCCCGCTACGCCGGCGGCTGGAGCGAGCGTGGCCTGAAGCACGGGCCCGGCCGCCTCGCGCTCCCGGACGGCACCCGCTACGACGGCGGCTTCAAGGACGGCATGTGCGCCGGCGTGGGCGTCATGGTCTTCTCCGACGGCGCCAAGTGAGTCTCGCGGCCACAGTACTTGTTGTGGCCGGCCAGGCCAATCAAAACCCTCCCAGCGCAAACAGTCATACCAGGTGGCTGATTAACCCCGCTCACTTCTGTAGTTATGCTGTACCGCACGCACGAGTGCGGACGGGTTGCATACTCTCTCGTCTCGTAAGGCGCCGTGGACAGGGGCGATAGGCAAGCCCACCCGCACTCGTGCGTGCGGTACAGCATAACTACAGAGGTGAGCGGGGTTAATCAGCCACCTGGTACATATAGTATCAAAGTCATCGACATCATAAACAAAAATCATTGTTGAAGCAGAAATTATAATCTTGAATAACGTCACCGTGTTTGTTTCGTGTTTTTTTTTTTTCAAGGGGTGGGGGACTCATCTTGCAAAGAGGAGGCCAAGGACCATTAAAACAATTGTCCTGCTGCTTGTATAAGAAACGACGACACGAGACATTTATTTTTACAGTGTGGGCACCGAGCAGAACAAACGACGTGTTGTGTGGTGGTTGTTGTGGTGGTGGTGGTGGTGGTGGTGATTTGCGAACACGCCCAGCGCCCGCGCACGGCCACAAATTAGATAGCAGGGAAGGGGCAGAGAGTGAGTGAGATTGCGCGAATGAGCCTACCTCCCCCCCCCCCCGGCGCAAGCCCGGCGCAGGGAATGTGGGCCAATTTACAGAGCGGCGCGGGCGCAAGCGCCCTACGAGGCGGCGGGGGCGCGGCGGGCGCGGCGGGGGCGAGAAGGACGGAGGGGGGCCGGGGGTGGTAGAAGGTGTGAAGGTATGGAAGCACAGGGGCCCCGCTCGGCGGCGCGGGCGGCGCTCGCCGTCTAGTTATTCATTTCAGTGGAGGCAGCAGCACCATCCGTCACAAATTAGTTCATAAAGTTTTGGTCATTAGTTGCGCGCAGCTGCAAGTCGCAAGAACGGCGGCGGCACTTTGGAAGGGGGAAGAGGGG